TTATTCTGTGAAAAATGATTTATTACTATTATATTTATTAGTAAAATTAATATAATTTCGAAAATACTTTACATGTTTTAATGTTCTTTGAATAAAGCTGAAATAAGCATTTAAGGTATAAAATTAAACTCTACACTGCAAAAAGAAGTATCTTATTTAAGATGTTTTGGTAGTCATTTCTAAGATGTTTTGGTAGTCACGTTTAAGTTATTTGAAATATCTTAATTTAAGATGTTTAAAGTATCTTCGTACACATTTTCATCATATTTTTTGGGAAAAAAGTTTTGAGGTTAACTATGGGCTTATATGTAAGACAATTTATGCATCTTAGTTTTTAGTAACTTAAATTTTTTTCGCATCTTACAATTCACAAGTATCTTATCGCTAAACATCTTATTGAGACAGAAACATCTTAATTTAAGATACTTTAAAAAACTTACAGAAGTATCTTACTTTTTTAAGATAGAAGAAATATCTAAGACTTATAAAACATCTTAAAAATCAGTAAGATACTTTAGAAAACATCTTATTTTAAGATGTAAGATACCATTTTTCTATCTTACATCTTATTTTAAGATATCAAATAAGACACTTATTTTTGCAGTGTAACAGTTAATAAACAGGTTTTATAATTATTGGATTATAGTTTCAGCATCTGTAACTTTTAGAATTAAATTTTAATGATAAATATTTTTTTTTTAAAACAAAAACATTAATTTTTTAAAAATAAACTTGATGCTTATTTTAGCATTATCCAAAGAACATTAAAACATGTAAATATTTTCGAAATTATATTAATTTTACTAATATGTAAATATAATAGTAATAAATCATTTATCCCAGAATAATTTAATTCCAACAAAAACATCTGTGATATTATATGAACACAATTAGTCTTGTAATATATATTAATGGTATTTCAATATTAAATAGAAGAAAAGCCCTAATAAAAATATAATATTCACTACCAGTCAAAATTTAGAGACCATACCCATTTTCAGGTGAATGAAAAACATTTCAAAACATTTAAAGTAAGAAAACTAAATTTTTTTTCCTTTTATGTTTTAAAAGATGATAACATTTTGAATAGAACAACATCTTTCAGAAGTCATTTGGCCAATATTTTATTTAGATATTTTTAAAAAATCGTCATTTTCAATGTCTTACAAAAATTGTAATAACTTCTAAAATAATGTACGCTTTTTAATGATCTTAGGCTTATTACTTTAAAATAAAACGCAGTGATAGTTATGTTTCGCGTCGTGTGAATTTCATTGTAATTATTTCAGTGCTAAACTATTAAAATTAAATATTAAAACTACACGGAGAGAAATCTGCTGCTAATATTACTCGAAAGAGCACATTACTTAAATTGCTTAACGTTTCTCTTATATTTTTAGCATGGATTCATATACTTATTGTAAAAATACTTTCAATGCAATAAGCATAAGAGACAGTAGCTAATTTTGCACGAAATCTTTATTATAAATACAAAGAGAACGTGCTATAAAAGTATTAGATTCTTCTTATAAGAATCGCTCGAACTCCGACTGATTTTCAGGCGGACTTTATACAACACAATCTTACCTGTGTATACGCACATATAACTCACACACACATATATTTCTCTCTCTCTCTCTCTATATTTGATATTTCTTTGTCCTGTAAAACATTATATATTATATGTAGTATTTAATACTTGTTGCTGTTATAAAAAGATAATATTTATTTAATAGTAAGTATATTATTTAAAAATTATTGCAGTTTTGTTCGTGTTTGAATATATAAGCAACATGTGAAAATTGTTAGGTTATGTTATTGCAAACGTCACCGCTTTGTACGCGTTCCGTTCCTCGAAACCATCCAGAGAAATATAATTATGTGTGTGTGAGTTATATGTGCGTACACGCAAGTAAGATTGTGTTGTATAAAGTCCGCCTGAAAATTAGTCGGAGTTCGAGCGATTCTTATAAGAAGAATCTAATACTTTTATAGCACGTTCTCTTTATATTCCCAGTAAAAAAAAAAGTATTCAGAATAGAGAAAAAGTATTGGTGGAGACGTTCGGTGAATGCGTTTTCGCGACAAAACCGTATTGGTGGGTCACGGTGAATACATTTCGCTTACCGTGAATACTTTTTTTTTAAACTCTCGATTTAAAGATTCCTAAGCAAAGTTGAGAATATTTATAAAGAGCGTAAGTGACCTGAAGTATAAAAATGACTATTGCGAGAAGGAAATAAGAAATTTAAAAAAAAAACGAAAAATTAAATGTGACAAACAGATTGTCAAATGTTGATCAATTACCATATGCTTTTCTGTGCCTACAACGTATGATGATTAAAAGGAACTTTGACGTTACCGGCGGAACTTACTGTTTCACATACATTTACTTGGATTTCTCAAGTTTCTGTCGGTATCGTCAATGTTCCTTTTCATCATCATACGTTGTAGGTTTGTCACATTTAATTTTTCGTTTTTTCTCAAAATTTCTTATTTCCTTCTCGCAATCGTCATTTTTATACTTCAGATCACTTACGCTCTTTATAAATATTCTCAACTTTGCTTAGGAATCTTTAAATCGAGAGTTTAAAAAAAAAGTATTCACGGTAAGCGAAATGTATTCACCGTGACCCACCAATACGGTTTTGTCGCGAAAACGCATTCACCGAACGTCTCCACCAATACTTTTTCTCTATTCTGAATACTTTTTTTTTACTCGGTTTATAATAAAGATTTCGTGCAAAATTAGCAGCTGCTTTTTGTTTTTATTGCATCGAACTCTCCATTACATTAAATAGATGATTTCGTATATAAATTATTATAACCTCAAGCTAAAATTCTATTCAGCCAGTGACTAATAAAATTTGTAAAGATTCTGCAAGCAATAATAGCAACAGATTTCTCTCCGTGTAGTGAAAATATGGTTAAAAACGCAAAGTGCTTACGATAAAATATAAAATGCTCTTACTGAAAGGAATTTTCATGTGTTAAATGTTTAACGTCAAGTTTTGACACCTAACCTTACTTTCTAGTGGAATCTTGAATGGTAGTAGGGATGTAAAGTTTCATGAAACTTTGGCTGAATGAAATGTTTCATGAAAGTTTTAATGCTTCACTGTAAAAAATTCTCATGTAAATTTACTACGTCCGACGTAGGAAAAGAAAATCACTACGTCAAGCGTGTAATTTTACAAATGGCTGATCATTTGACATAACCTGCATGTTATTTTACATGCTCAATGTTAAAATGGGTTGCTTCAAATAGCGTTCTGTTCAAAAACATGCCGCATGTAATTTAACTAATGCGTAATCTGTTAAATAATACTAATTGAAAACACTAAAATATATATACTAATAATAAAAACACAAAAAAGGCAAAATGTCGGTGTTGGCAGTTCACTTTATTTTGAGCATGTGCAAGCATCCATATAATATATTTAACTCCGCGCTAAAGGAAAAATACACGCGGCATGTAATCTTACATGCAATACAACGTAAATTTACGTATCCGTGGTAACTTTACATGACCATTGTAAATTCACAGAATAAAGTAAAAAAACAGACGAGTGTAATACAACATGCTGGACATAGTGATCAAATTTTCCTACGTCGGACGTAGTAAATTTACACAAAACTATTAAATTACATAGTCATATAAAGTAAAATTATTAAAAATAGTAAAACTACTTTGAAACTTAGTAAATTTACTACGTCCAGCCTATAATATTGCTGTGTAAAATTACATTCAGTATGTTTTAATACACCAGAATTTTTTACAGTGTTCATGAAACATTTCAATGTTTCAAGTATTTAGGCGGTAAAATTCAAATTAAATACAAGATATTCTGTATTTAATGATTTTATTTCATTGGAACTAAGAAATATTTAGAATTAATAACTACTTAAAAATTTTTTAAATTCTTTTAAATGAAATAACTAACTTGGGTGTACTTCCGAAAAGCGCATACCTCGGATTTTTCACCATGATAACCTTATTTGCGCCAATTTTCACTATGATTTTCGTAATCAGGGTACAAAATTACGTAAGTATACCAACTTTCATTAAAATCGGAGGTATGCGCTTTTCGGAAGTTTATCCACTAACTTAAATAATATATTAATATTTTATTTTTAAATTAATAAATTTACGAATGATTAAAAAAATTAGATTTTTTATTTGCAGAATAAAAAAACAGCCATAAGACGTTTTCAAATAATTAAATATATATTTTCAAATTAACACAAAATAAAGAAATACATACGTATAAAATTAAATAAATAAATGAACATTTAAGTTTAACAGCTTATTCCTCTGTGAATTATTCCTGAATAAACTGAATTTCGGCATCATTGATTTCCAATTCCAAATCAAGCAGATTATGTTCATCCTCGGCTTCCAAATCAAATTGATTTTCAAGAACTTCAATTTCAAATAACTGATCATCCACATCATTTATTTGCACATTTTTCTTAATCTTCGGCCGTACTGAAATAGAACGACTGTAAATATGAGCGTAAATATGACTGTGAATACGACCCTAAATACGGGCCTCAGTAGGGTAGTGTAATTGAAACAGTAAATACAGCCGTATTTATGCCCGTATTTGGGGTCGTATTTACGGTCATATATGAATACCATTTTTTTTTAAAAAATATATATACCCCCACAGCACCGAAACTTTCCTAAAAATTTATTAAATATTTACTTGCAATATTCGGCATATTTAACTAAAAAGTTTAGTGAAAATTGATCTTTCCACAACTTTCAATAAACATTGCAATTACATATTCCGAACATTGCAAGTAAATATTTAACAAATTTTTAGGAAAGTTTCGGTGCTGTGGGGGTATTTATATAATGAAATATCATTAATTATTATAATTTAATATATTAAATATAATATTGCAACTAAAATAAATATTATTTAAGGTAAGTATTGAAATACGATTTATTCTTATAATAAATACATAACAAACAAATATATAAATATCACTTTATTTTAATCACAAACACACATATATGCACAGAACAATTATTTTTTTAAAATTATCATTTTTATTATTTTTATTGTGTGAGAAAAAACACTTGCACGCACAATTTAATTGTTTATAATTTCACATTTATAGGATGCAAAATAAAATCCACAAATGACGCGAATCACATGTAAGCACTGTTGTACGGAAGCGCCTACGCGCCACGAGGCAAAGAGAGGAAATCTGTTTCTGCTAATGTCGTTTTAGCTTGTGAAACATAGGAACACGTTCGATGGTTCGCTGGTTCGGTGGTTCGATGATGTGATTGTTCCTAAATAAAAAATTAAAAATAAGAAATAAAAATGAACCAAATTAATTTAAATCGACAATTTTAATGTAATAAAATATTTTTTAGATATTATTTATAACAGATATTAATTACGAGGTAAATTAGGTGCTTTAAAAAAATCATATATTTTGAGGTTATAAAATGTTATCACATTGAAGGCCTATGGATGAAATAATAACTTCAAAACTTAAGTTTAAAATTTTCTATATAATTTCATATCTTATATAGCACAAATTGTGTTAGATAATTTTGTTAGATTGTGTTAGATTTACATTTGATCAACATTATGTGTATAATTTGAGGTTTGAGTAAATAATAAAATTCTGGTAATATTTAAAGTTTTCTCTACTGAGAATATTTGAAAGTCAATAAAACTATTTGTAGAAACTACGTCAATCGATAGAAACAATCTTTTGTAAATAAATTTGAAGTATTGATATTAGATTTTAGAAATTTCTTTGAAATTACATTAGAAATTTAAATATTAAAATAGACAATTTGCAACATTTGTTTACTTTTTAAATTATACAGCAGTGACGTAGGACAATTCCAACATATGATTAAATTTAAATTTGTTATCAGTAAAAAATAGTATATAAATCACAAGACAGTGAGAGAATATTTTTTGACTGCTTGGTTCAATTACCGATTTGAAAAATAGCAATAAAAATGATAATATTAAGAATTTTAAGTATTTTTTTATTTCTTAATGTTTCGAACACCAAACGAGTAGTTAACTGGTATACTGAGGTATGTTTGAAAAATAATTATTTAAGCATATGTCCAGTGTGTACTCTTTTTCATGTCCTTATGTTAAGGGGTTACCCCCACTTGTAGCGCAAAAAAATAAGCCTTTTTTATGAATTTTTTTAAAGAAAACTACAAAACCTTTTTAATCTATAACTATATCATCTTAAAGAACACATATTGAAGAACTTTTAGTAATTTTTTTGTTAAAAAATATTACATAGTTAAGTGTCAAACTGCCGTCAACGAAATAATATTTTTATTTATACGGTTTGCGGTGACCAACATTGCGGCGAAGTGAATCATCGGAATCAAAAAATGTGGATAAATTTAGTCAAATATGAGTATAAACTAGTCTTTAATCGAAGGATTTAAAAAAATATTTATTTTTCACAAAATGGCTGACAGTCTAAGTTAAAAGTTCGATTTTAACGAAAAAAAACGTCCGTTTTTTGGCTATAAAACGGACATTTTTTTTCGAAAAAGAAAATCGAACGATTAAAGACTACATTTTTATGTATTAAATAAGCCTGCAAAATTTCAAGAAGATCGGTTCATTAGTGTTTGAGTAATCTTGGTCACCGACTTCAGAAATGCCATTTCGAGAAAAACGCGTTTAAAGTTTCAATTTCAGTTTCCACGAAGAAAATAATTTTTTTGTAAAGTTACATAGAATCAACTCCGGTAAGTGGGAGTACGTAATAGTTTGGTTTCCAGAAGTAGGCTGAAAAGTCATGGTGGTAATTAAAAAAAAGATATTCATTTTATCGATGCATATATGTATATACAAATCAGTATATATCAGTCTCTTTCGCCTCTTTCAAAGCTCATATCTCAGTCAATTTTGTTGGAATTGACTTGAAATTTTCAGGACATACTTTCAGTTACTTATGCTTCAAAAAAATGCAATAAAAGAAAAATCGATTTTTTCAAAGTTGCAAGTGGGGGTAACCCCTTAAACAAAACGTGTTTATTTTCTGTTACTAAATTCTGGATTAACAATCCCAAAATCCTTGTAGAAAAAAAGTTTATTGATTTTCTGTCAATGAATATGTTTTAAAACATTGTTTTCATTGTAATTCATTTTCATAACGCAGCTTTCATCATCCACTATTTTGAAACCGGGGAAATTTTTAGCTAAAAATGAAAAATTTAGGATTTTTGAAAAGTTTATTTCACCCATGTATTTTTCTTTGGAAATTTGAATTGATTATTGGCATGTGTTAATAATCAAAATTCGAAATTAAATTTTTTTGGATACCATAATGTATACAAGTTAACAAATAGTAATATGTACTTTTAATTATAGGCAACCACATGTTAGTGGAACATAAATAAAATGTTTTTTTTATATTTTTCAGGAAACCGAAAGAACAGTAAGGCCACTTATTCGAAAATATGACGATTCATTGGCAGTACACATGATCAATAAACAATTGTATCATTACAAGAGTCACTTTGGAATAATAATAAAAAAAGGAACAACTTTTTCTGTGACGACTAAGGCATTAAAAAATCTTAGAAATATTTACTTTTACTGTATAACTGAAAAGTATAATGTTCATGAAATAAAATTTAGAGATCATAGTAACATTACAAAAGTTTTGACAGCAACTTCTGATTGTGTACCAATGATGTCTGTATCATACAACGTCGATGTGGAAATGAAAATAAAAACAAAAAATTGGATCGATCTACCTGTTTTGGATACTAGAAATGTAACGTATCGCATGTCAATGGATGCTGAAAGAGAGTTTTATAAAAAAGTAGAAGTTTATGGTTTCGTTGAGAATTACTACGTACAAGTGCTGCTGACAGCAAAAGACATCATGGAAATGCAATCCAAAAATTACAGTCTATTGGTTGGAGTACAAAACCAAATAGATATAATTAAATACTACAATTATTTGACAAGCGCGAGTCGATATGTAAATAAAAATGATTCATACGCATATGCTTTAGTTGAAAAATACAGAATTTTTAGCCGTACTGAAGAAGATTTCTACGGGGGACATTTATATCCATACGGTATAGCGTTCACCTCTGCAGCAGATACATTTTTAAATCCTATTCGAGGATTTGAGTGGGGCTTATTACACGAAATTGCTCATTATTATGATATTGAAGGGACTGTTAACGGTATTGGATACACCGTGGAATCGTGGACTAATATTTATTCTGCATTCTATCAACACAAATTTTCCTCTATGGATTATTGGCTTGATTACGAAGATCACGAGAACAACACGCTTCTATCGAATTATCGCAATGGAATTACTATCGAGAATAAAAAATGGGATTATAGGGAAAAAGTACACTTCTACTTGACATTGTTCGGATATGATGGTACTGACAAATCTTTCAGAGAATTCAACATTCGATACTTTTCTAAAAATAATACAGACAAAAATGATGTAATACCAATACTTTTAGAAGTCTTCTTTGATCTATACAACATAAACATATTGCCATTTTTAAAGAAAGTTATCAACTTTAAAACTATTCCTTCCCTGTCGTATAATTTAGAAATACGACTTTTGAACGGTCGGGCTGTAATGCCAGCCATTGATTTCGGCCTGAAACCAACTGACATGAAACTTAGGAGCAGAGAAAAAGATTGGAGACAACATTTGCCTTTAAAGTTTATGACTAAAATGAAGAAAAAGTTCGTTGAGGTGATATTTACTATTGAATCCCCAATAGACCCCACTGGTGCTTGTCTGTATTTGAATAACATTTGTCACACTATTGTTGGCAATCGTATGAACATCAAATTATTATCAGACGTTTATTCAGTTTATATTCTAAGTAAAAAAGACCAAGGCATGTATGCTAGTGATATAGAATACCACACCATATCAAAAGATACAAATGTTTATGTCAAAGTAAAGGATTTGCGGGAAACAGAATCATGTTTATCTCTAATACAATATTCCTTTATTATTCAAGGTCACGGTTCGTGGACATTTATGAAAATTTTGATAGATTATAAACATATGAATATAGCGATACACCAAACCAATACCTACATTCACAAGAATTTTGAAAATGAATTATATTTTTCAATAAGATTAGAAAGAAATAATGCCTCTGTTTTCGAATACAACTTTTTGGGTTATCCAGAAAGAAATGAAGCTCTGCTATGTGAACATAATTTCCAGATTAATGATAAAATTCACATCTACCATGTCGAACCATCTCGCTTAAAGTTTGATTTGAAGGAATACAATAATTTTAAACAAAATAATACTTTTCTGTTGACAAGAGTCGGTTTACATAATGTTGCTGACATGGAGCAAAATATGATTTCATTACAAATTGAAAACGTTAATAATTATTATTTGAAATACAATGAGGATTTAAAGAAAAATCTATATTTTCAAGGAATGTTAATTAATTATGTGAATGTTTTACGTTCTACAGGATTAGAAGAAAAGATACCAAAAAACTGGATTACAGCAGCAAACTAAGATATCTTTGTGGCAATTTTTTTCGAATTATTGCTGTGGAATTAATCAGTTGTGTTGAATGTTGACATTTGTTAGCAAAACTTTATAATAATACACGAAGAAAAAAGAATAATTGAACTTATCGTTTGGAGTGTAAAACTGGAATAAGTTGACTTTCTTCTGTTTAGAACTTAACCTATACTAAGGAATGTAATAGCATAATATTTATATTAGTGAACATGTAATTTAATTTCACTTTAATTAGGAATTGATTTTGGCGTCAAATTCCTTTAAAATAACGAATTTTTGTTTATTTAAAAAAATTGTTGAAATTAATATATTTTTTAATAAAAACAGTGTAAGTTGTACGCGAACAACTTACTCTTAATAAATTTTGATTTGGAGTATTACAATGACAACAACATTTCTATGTAGTTTTTCACAGAAACTTTATAATAATTTGTAGCTGTAAACCACTGTTTGAAGGTAATAAAATATTTCATAAAGGATGAATGGATAAGAAAGTCATTAAAATCAATCATAAAGCAATAGCATAGTTTATTGCACTTTAAGAAGTGTAATTAAAATTACAATTATTATTTAACTGTGTTCGATGGTTTCTCTGTTCACAGGCACGTAAAATTGGTAAACAATCATTTTCTAACAAATATTTCTCTGTTCACAAACACTTTTTACAAATTCTGCACAACAAACCGTCGTCACAAATGTTTTTAATTAACTGAATTCAAAAGATTTTGTTTTCTGAAGAAATATACAATTGTTAAAATTTTTTAGATGGATGATCTACGCCAACTGATAATTGCCAATAATTTTTTCGACTTTTAGATTTAAAAAATTAGGAATGACATATATAGAGAAGGTAATAATATAATTCTTTTGATTTAATTGTAAATTATATAATTCATGTTTCATATAGTTTGCAGTAACCGAACACTGAATGGTTTAACAGATGTACCAGAAATAGTAAATATAAAAAATTCTAGTTTCTCGGTGTAATCCAATTTTTTGGTATCATTCTTTCTAATCCTTCAGAACGTAGACTATTCATATATTGTCTTAAGAGTCCTTGATAATATGGATTATTCTTCAAATCATACATATATTTCGAATTAATTTTGTCAATTTTATTGATTAATAATGAAATCATTTTTGGCTCCTTGTCAGCAACATTGTGTAAACCAGCATTTGTCAATAGAAAAGTGTTATTTTTTATGAAACCATTGTAAACCCCCAAGTCAAACTTTATACGGTGGTCTGGTTTTGCATGGTAGATGTGGATTTTATCATTGATCTGGAAATTATGTACACGTACGACAGTTTTATTCAGTCTTGGATAACCCAAAAAGTTGTATTTAAAAATAGAAGAATTATTCCTTTCTAAACTTATTGAAAAATATAATTTATTATTAAAATAGGGGTCAATGTAGGTACTGATTTGCTTTACTTGTATTGTCATTTCTTTATAATTTATAAATATTTTAAAAATTAGGCAATTAAGTCCTTGAATGGTAAAGGATTGATGACTATCGGAGAATAATTTTGTTGCAATAGAAGGAAGATCCATTAGTTTGATATCAATTTTTTTATCTTTTGATATCTTGTGGTATTTTATATCACTCACGTATAAGGTCTGGTTTTTTTCCTGTAAAACATAAGCAGAGTACACGTTTGATAATAATTTGATGTTCATACGATTGCCAACAATAGTGTGACAAATGTTATTCAAATACAGACAAGCACCAGTGGGATCTATTGGGGATTCAATAGTAAATATCACCTCAACGAACTTTTTCTTCATTTTAGACATAAACATCAAAGGTAAATGTGATCTCCAGTCTCTTTCCCTGCTCCTAAGTTTCATGTCGGTTGGTTTTAGGCCGAAATCAATAGCCGGCATTACAGCACGACCGGTCAAAAGTCGTAATTCTAAAAATTCACTTACTAAATGATAAGTTTTAAAGTCCACAACTTTCTTTAAAAATGGCAATATATTTATCTTGTACAAATCAAAAAACACTTCCAAAATTATTGGTATTACATCGTATTTTGCTGTATTCTTTTTTGAATAATAGCGAATGTTGAATTCTCTAAATGATTTGTCAGTGCCATCGTATCCAAATAATGTTAAAAAGACTTGTAATTTGTCTCTAAAGTCATACTTTGTTTCTTGTTTATTCCAATTTCCGTTAATACTAATACCTTGTCGATAATTAGATATAATTTCATTGTCTTCTAACTTATTATAGTCATATAATGCGGGTTCGTCTGAAATCTTTTTCTTATAAAAAGAACTCAATATGTTGGTCCAGGTCTCCCAGGAATTTGCAAAACCATTAACTAAATATGGCAGATCATAATAATGTGCAATTTCGTGCATTAAAGCCCATCGTAATCCTCGAACAGGATTTAGAAAATTGTTTACTATAGATTTACCAAATGATATACTTCTTTCATGATAAAGTCCAGTATATTTGTTATAAACTTGATCAAAAATTCTATATTTTTCAACCATAATATGTCCGTACGAATCATTTTTATTTACATATCGACTCGCACCTGTCACATAGTTGTAGTATTTTATTATATCCTCTTCATTTTGAACAGAAGCATACAAACTGAACTTATTTGCTAACATTGCCTTTACGTCACTTGCTGTCATTAAAATCTGTACATAATAACTCTCAACAAAACCATAAACTTCTATTCTTTTGTAAAACTCTCTTTCAGCTTCTTCTGACATACGGTAGGTTATATTTTTTGTATCCAAAACAGGTAGATCAATCCAATTGGTAGTTCTTAATTTTACCTTCACATCGATGTTGTACGATACTGGTAACATTGGCACACAATCGGATGTCGTTGTATAAACTTTTTTACTGTTGTTTGTCTTCTCAAAGTCTTCATCGATAAGGTTTTCATACTCTTCAGTAATGCAGTAAAAGTGAAAATATGTCAGATTTTTTACTGCCTGAGTCGTTAGGGTAAAAGTTGTTCCTTTTTTAATTATTATTCCAAAGTGACTCTTGTAATGATACCTTGGAGATCTGTACGTATGAACTTTCCAAGAATCGTCGAATGTCCTAACCAATGGTATCACTGTTTTCTCAATTTCCTAAACAAAAAAATTTTTGAATCAGAAAAATTTAATTTTCAAAAATTTCAAAATAGTCGATTCATTATCGAACATAAAAAATACATACATAGCTTGTAATAATTATTTTTCAATACGTACCTCGGTATTCCAGTTTACTACACCTTCGGTGTTCGAAACCTTAAATAAAAAAATACTCAAAATTGTTAATATTATCATTTTTATGTCTATTTTAGAAATTAATAAGTAATTTAACAAATATTCTCTTACTATTAAAGAGATTTTAACCAGTTTTGTAATTTATATACTTTTTTTTACTAATTAAACAAATTTAAATTTATTCATATGTTTGAATTGTCCTACGTGACTGCTGTATAATTTGATAGGTAAACAAATGATGTAGATGATCTCTTATAATAATTAATTTTCTTATGTAATTTCTAAGAAATTTCTAAAATCTAAAATCAATTCTTCAAATTTATGACGACAATCGATTGTCTCTATCGATTGACGTAGTTTCTACAAATAGTTTTATTGATTTTCATAGATTCTCAGTAGAGAAAAATTTAAATATTACTAGGATTTTATTATTTACTGAAACGTCAAATCATACGCATAATGTTGATAAAATGTAAATGCTTACTTTCCAAGAAATCTAACAGAATTTTTGCTATATAAGACGTGACATTATAGAAAATTTTAAACTTAAGTTTTGAAGTTATTATTTAATTCTTAAAATAGTGAATAATGAATACCTTATTACTATTAAAGTTATTATCAATACTTGTCGTTTCTTCAATAGCAAAGCAGAGGATTCAATGGAATTCATACGTAAGTTGCAATTCTACAAATGGTATAAAAATAATTTTTTGATTACACAGCCACACAAAAAAAATAAAGTGTCTTGATCTGGGGTCGAGACATATATATTCCGATGTATTTCAATGCGCTGAATCCGAATCCGCCCTCAGAATTTGGACAATGGGTCCTGGTTTCGCCCTAACCTCAAAAAATACCCTAAAATCGTTAAAATGGTCACTTTTGATTTATCAAAATTGAATCTAACCGCATATTGATAATTTTCTAAAATCCCTTAATTTAAATAAACTATTCTATAAGCTTTTCAATTAAAAATTCCTATAAAACATTAAATCTATCGAACCTAACCTCAAAAACACATCTAAGATTATAAACAAACAAATTATACCATACACAGCACAATAAAAATTATGTAAGCTCATGAAAGTTACAACTTCAGGTGTTTTCATGATTGCTGATTACGAATCCGGTGTTAGTTTATCAAAATTCCAAATGGTGGATCCAATATGGCGAACAATATAATTAAAATTTGTTTGGATTGGCTTGAAAATCGTTACTCGGGGTTTTCGGGGTCGCTGATGACGAATCCCATGTCGGTTTATAAAAATTCAAAATGGCGGATCCAATATGGCGGTTTTTTAATATTTTAACGATTATTTTAAATTTATTACTCGCGGTTTTTCGGGACCTTTGATAACGAATCCTATATCAATTTTTATACACGCTAAAAAAAGTTCTACTAAAGTAGAGATAACAATCACTATAATAGCTATAAGTTTCACTGATTTGGCTCCATCGATAATCCATTTTCGCTGATCTAGCGAAAATTATATTTCTTGCGTTATCTTTTGAAAACAACGTAACCTCAAAATAACACTTGAATGAAAACATTTTTAAATTAATGTTCAAAGCGTTTATTCAAATTCTATTAATTATATTTTTTATATTATAACTAATAATATGTAAAATCAGTAAATTAATACGTATTTAGAGGTAAGAAATGTAAATTTGACATTTGTGATTTTAGAGAAATTTCTATGAGAATGGTAAACTGTCAAATATTTCCAATATGGCTGACCAGTGAAATTCATTTTCTCTATATCAGAGAAACAGTTTGACTACTGCATTGGAAATCATTCATTGAATTAGTTGAATAGATTCTTTATGTTATTTATTTTTGAAATTAGCTGTTTCCCACAGTAAAAATTTTTTTCCGTGTAATCTTAAAGTCTTACGAATTGTTTTCTAACAATTCGTAAGACTTTAAGATTATAAAAATTGATATACACTGTAAAAAAATCTGGTGTAAAATAACACGAAACTTGTAATTTCACACATCAAAATTATAGGTTGTACGTAGTAAATTTATTTCGTTCCAAAAGTAGTTTTACTATTTTTAATAATTTTACATTATACGACTATGTAATTTAATAGTTTTGTGTAAATTTACTACGTCCGACGTAGGAAAATTTGATCACTATGTCCGACGTGGTATTTTTACATTGCGTGTATTTCTACACTTTGACGTAATATTACGTCGTACGATCTGTACAATTACATGGCGAATGTAATTTTCTTATTCCTTTAAGATTTTCAAAAAATTTTCAAGTTTTTATAAATAACTCTAAAAAAGTGTATATAATGTACATTTATAGAAAGTATATGCTAATTTATAAGTAAATAATAATATAACAAAAAGTTTTGGGCTATATTTCATAAATACAAAAAGTTACGACTGAAAATATTATTTCAAAAAATATTTGCAGGTTATGTAGATTACAGTCGGCGTGTAAAAATACCACGTCGGACATAGTGACCAAACTTTCCAACGTCGGACATAGTAAATTTACAGCAGATTTTTTTACAGTGTAGGATTCGTTATCAAAGGTCCCGAAAAACCGCGAGTGATGAATTTAAAATAATCGTTAAAATATTAAAAACTGCCATATTGGATCCGCCATTTTGAATTTTTATAAACCGGCATGGGATTCGTCATCAGCGACCCCGAAAACCCCCGAGTAACGATTTTCAAGCCAATCAAAACAAATTTTAATTATATTGTTCGCCATATTCGATCCGCCATTTTGAATTTTGATAAACTAACACCGGATTCGTAATCAGCAGTCATAGAAACACCTAAGTTGTAACTTTCATGAGCTTACCTATTTTTTATTGCGCTGTGTATGGTATAATTTGTTTGTTTGGAATCTTAGATGTGTTTTTGAGGTTAGGTTCGATAGATTTAATGTTTTATAAGAATTTTCAATTGAAAAGCTTATAGAATAGTTTATTTAAATTAAGGGATCTTAGAAAATTATCAACATGCGGTTAGATTCAATTTTGATAAATCAAAAGTGACCATTTTAACGATTTTAGGGTATTTTTTGAGGTTAGGGCGAAACCAGGACCCATTGGCCAAATTCTGAGGGCGGATTCGGATTCAGCGCATCGAAATACATCGGAATACATATGTCTCGACCCCAGATCAAAACACTTTATTTTTTTTGTGTGGCTGTGTTATTTCTCCTTTATAATTTATAAATTATTTATTAAACTACGTCCTGAAATCCGTAAAATCTATTTATATTTTGCCAAACTTTGCTAATAGTTATAAAGACTTGATGCACGACTTGCAACTTATTTATTAACAGGTTGCTTTGCAGAAAACGATTTTCGAAAATGTGTTATAAAATTATTTAAAATCGAAATGAAATTATAATATTCTGAAATTATTTTATAATATACAGTATTCTAACTAAGAAATATATCTTTTAGGTTACTACAAGAATCGCAAAACCATTGATTCGAGAATTTTCGGATCCCTGGACGAAAAATCTCATTCAAAATCAATTCTATCATTACAAAACTCATTTTGGAATAATTATTAAAGAAGGATCGAAAATAAGTTTGTCAGTGGAGGCAGCCTCGACAATAGAAAACTTATTTTTCTATTGTCTTGCTGATGCACCTGATGGTTCATTCAACATATTGGATCTTGCTGGGAAATCGAATTTTAGTAAATCCTATACAGCATACTATGATTGTGTGCCTATGATGTCAGTTTCTAACAATGTGCCAGTAACGATAAGAATTAAAACTAGAGAATGGTTACCATTACCAATTTTTGATTCCAATGATGTTACACTTCATTCTTCAGAAAAGGATGAATCTGAATTTTACCAAAAAGTACAAGTTTACGGATTCGTTGAAAACTACTATACACAAATGTTGCTCTCAGTGCAAGACATTGAAAATTTAAAATCATCATCTTCTAGTCTGTACGTTGGCTTACTGAATCAAATTGAGGTAGTTGAGTACTACGACTATTTGACAACTATCCATACTTATGAGAAGAAAGACATTCTTTCTTCCCTAAAATTCATCGATCGGACATCTTTATTTATACGCTCAGAAAGATGCAATGCAAACAATGTTATTAATTCAGCAACATGTTCGAATTTCAATTTTCATTGGATATCTGTTACTGATAATATTGAAGCATTTCTACAACCTGAAAGAGGATCGAGTTGGATCTTATTGCAACAGTTTGCCCACTACTACAACAGGAAGGAAACGGATGTTAGTTTTGGAGAAACGTACAATTTGTGGAATGATATGTTTGCAATCATGTATCAACAAAGGTTCAGAAAACAAAATAATCGCGTTAATACAGACGTGCCATATAAGTTAAATGATATTTTTAGTTATCAATATGGAAAACTCTTCCCACAGTGGAATTATGAAGAAAAGTTAAGTTTATTTATAAGTCTCTTTGGCTATGATGGAACTGACACGAATTTAAGGGAATTTCGAATTCGACATATGCCTAACAATCAGGTTGTAACTTCTGATTTCCCGAATAATATAGTACCTACTATTCTGGAAATATTTTTTGATCTGTACGATATAAATTTATTACCATTTTTGAAGAAAGTGATCAATTTTGATGAACACAGTTTATTGAATTACGATTTTGAATTACTACTTGCGACCGGAAAGAATGTAATGCCTGCCGTTGATTCTCGTATTAAGCCAACCGATTTAAGTATCAGAAGTGAGGAACGCGATTTGAGAGAAATTTCTCCTCTGATGTTGATGACAGAGATGGAAATTAATTATGTAAAAGTTGCATTTAAAATAATATCTCCAATTGATCTCACGAACTGTTGTCTGTATTTAAATAACAAATGTCACACTATTTATTTTTGGATGATGCATTTGGAATTGCCGGCAGGTGTTTACTCTGTTTATATAGCAGAGAAGAAAGGTGAAAATGTTTACGCTAGTGTCATAACATATCATTCTATTAAAAACTATTCGTATATTAAGGTTGATGTGAGAAATATTCCAGAGGATATAGCTTCGCCCTTGATTCACTACTCTTTTGATGTCTTAGATGTTAATGACAACGTATTTCTAAACATATTTATAAGATACTCTGACATGACGCTCAGAATAAAACAATTGCATAATGAAATCTCCGGTAATTCGACAAACGATGATGAATACTTTTCGATAAACTTGAAGCGAAATGGTTCGTCCATTATGAAATACAGTTGCAGCCATTATTCACTGCACCAGACATTTTCTCCAGTTTTGCAAGTCATTAAAATCAACGATGAAATTACTATTTACAACCAAGATGCAGATCGTTTAAAATTAAATTTAGAGTGGGAGGATCAAGTAGCAGAGAACAGTTATACTTTTCTAGTTACAAATGTCGGTTTGAATCCAATCATTCCAGAATCAAAAGTACAATCTGAGTCTGATGTTAAAAAAGCTGTAAATTATTTTAATAGTCCCACAACTGCATTGCAATATGCTTTTGATGCTCTAGGTTTTGGTGACGAACTCTTCTTGATAATTCTTATCGACTACATTGATTCAACAATAACTTTGAAACAAATCAAACATAACATTCATGGAGTTTTTTGGAATGAACTTTATTTTTCGATAAGTTTAGAAAGAGATGGTGATGTTATTTTTAAACATGAATTTTCAGGCGATACGGAGAAGAATAAAAGTCTGTTAAATAAAGTTCACAAATTCTCTCCGGGTGACAAAATTAATTGCTACCACCGAGAACCAAGAAGACTGAAATTCAATTTACCCGAATATAATAGTGTAGAAGAGAAGAATTCATTTGTTTTGACAACTGACGGTTTATATTCTTTAAGCAAAAATTCAGTTTACGATATGAAGGAAAATAAAATTGCTTATAAAGGTACACGACGACATGTTATTGATGCTTTAGGATTTGATGACGAACTGTTCTTTATAATATATATAAATTTCGATGATTCGACAATAACTTTAAAACAAAACAAGCGTGATATTCATCATCGTTTTTCGAATGAACTATATTTTTTGATAAGTTTAGAAAGAAATGGTAATGTTATTATTAAACATGAATTTTCAGGCATCACTGAGAACAATAAAAGTCTTATAGATGAAGTTCACAAATTCTTCCCGGGCGACATAATTTACTTCTATCATTCAGAACCAAGCAGACTGAAGTTTAATTTACCTGGATATCATAGTCTAGGAAACTCTAACTATTTTCTTTTGAAAAACGATGGTTTATACAATATCCGGAATGAGACGAGTAATATTTTGGGTGAAAAAGCACATACACCCGAACTGCAATATACTTTCGATGCTTTAGGATATGGTAACGTATTGTTCTTAAAGATATTTATAAATTACGTTGATTTGACAATAATTATAAAACAAATTAAGGACAACATTCATGGTGCTCTTTATAATAAATTATATTTTTCTGTCCGAGTTGAAAGAGATTGTTCGACCATTTTTAAACACAAATTTATCAGCGACGACAGAACTAAAAATCTTGTCAATGCTACTATTAAATTTAAGTTTGGTGATAAAATACATTTCTTCCATGAAGAACCAAGTCGTTTTAGAATAAATTTTAAAGAACACCACAATAGTAAGTTAAATAATCTCACTTTTGTTTTGAGAAAATCCGGTTTGCGTAAAATCAACGACGTTGATTCATTTGTTGCTGCCGATATACAAAGAATTATTAAATTCAACAAAGATTACAATATTGACTTGAGCTACAATGAAATGTATCAAATTTTTTTTGCACATTATTTCCGTTTGCTGCGTTCTAATAATCTACAATCTTATATCAATAATTATTGCGACTCCACATATTGAATAAACTAATTGTTAATTGTACTATACTCCAACAATAAGTCCCGCAATTGTATTATTTGTGTGCATAGAATTAAAGTTTTTCTTCTAAAATGTATATTATTTTTAACAATAGTTTATAGCTACTTTCCTTTCTTACAGCCTTCAAATGAAAGTGTTATTTATTTTTATATTCATTTGCTTGATTTCTACAATTATACTATATGTACTTTGTTTCTTGAAGGGCTTTTAGCCCTATGGACTTATTCTCAATAAATAAATGAGTGAAAAAGTGAATCTATACAAAAAAGATTGTTAACCTAATGTTACACTGAATTTTATTTATTATTTAATTTTTCTGAAATAAAATGTTGATCAATAGGGGAAGAGGTTCGGTTGTGGGCATGGTTCTGTTGTGGACACCCCCGCAGAACTTTTGACAGAAATGAGTTTTGTCAAATGTGATAAATATCACGTGTTTGTGTATAAATAAACAATGTTTCTATTAATTTTCATGTTTTTTTATTGCACATAATTATGAAAATTTTCATAGAGAACGTAGAATATTCATATATTGTCTTAAGAGTCCTTGATAATATGGATTATTCTTCAAATCATACATATATTTCGAATTAATTTTGTCAATTTTATTGATTAATAATGAAATCATTTTTGGCTCCTTGTCAGCAACATTGTGTAAACCAGCATTTGTCAATAGAAAAGTGTTATTTTGTCAAACCATTGTAACCCTCTAAATTAAACTTCATATTTTCTGGTTTTGCATGGTTGATGTGAATTTTATCGTTGATATTGAAATTATATTCACGTACCACAGGTAATAAATAAATTGAAATAAATTTAATAAAAAAGAAAAATCAAAGAAACTTTCAAACCACTCGAGTGGTTTGATTTGATTAATAACCGAAAGTGAACCCAGCTGGGTGCACTTTTGGTTCTTTTATAAAATACTTATTAATTTGAGTAGAAAAGTACGAAACATGCATAAATATGATGAAATAGTTAGATATAGAGTAGATTTATACAATAATTATAATAAATAAAGTAATAAATAATAAATAATAATTATAAAAGTGTAGTGATGCGTGTGACTTTTTTTTCTTCTCTATTTTAGCCAATTTTTAAAGTGAAGAAATATAAATCAACAGAGAAGACCCTTAATATTAATAAAGAATTGTTAAATAAGTCAATTTTCGTTGATTATAACACTAATTTATTAATAATTATTAAAATTCTAATTAAATGTAAATAGTGTGGGTAACTATAAAAATTACACAACGAAGCAGATTTCCCCTGGCAGCGTTCGACCCAATATGCTAAAGTGCGTGCTGTTTAGAATACTACTGATATATCGCCGCGCATTTTTCACGACAAATGGTGAGGCTGACATTCGAACTCTTATTTTCAAAAAGCAATTATTATATTTGTTGTTTGTTGGTTTAGTTAAACAAAATGGAGGAAAGAATAATATTTTAAAAATAAAACATAATCCTGTGGGGACCAACCTTTAGAGTTAAAGTAGTGCGCGTGCGCCAACCGCACGGAAAGGAAAAGAAGACTGTAGAGATGAGGAGAGTCAGATTGGTTTTGACTACCGGCAAACTGAGCAGTGATCTAAATATCGCTCTGTAAATTCTTTAGTAATATACTGTTGTTAAATTGTTGAATTATCAGTCGTTGATTATTAATTCTAGAACATAAAATCCATTCTTATCCTGAACATCCTGGTAAATTGGAGAAACCATAAATATTCCATATAAATTGCGAGTAAATTCTCCATAGTGGTGACCCCGTCGCAAGTTTCGGAATAGGATTTTTTTTCTCATTTTGAGTCTACAAAGCGTCAACTGGAAAAAAAGAGGAAAAAGTTTTTCTTGCTGAAAAAGAATTTTCTACCTTCAGCTCAAAAAAACTCCGAAAAATACCATTTTTTCGACTGTGAAAATTTCACATAACCTCACTTCCGGTGCACATGTTCGACCTTCGAAAAAAAGGAGAATCTACCTGTATCTCGACAATCCATCAGTTATTACTGCATCAAACAACTTTAAAAAAATTAGAAAATATTTCTCACCAATTCTGACGAGATATTTTTACTGATTTTGACAAATTTCGAACAACTCCTGGACTTTGACGAACGGCACATGGTGTGGAAACGTATCAAGGCTACTTTACCACTACAAAAAGCTGATCCGATACCTGTTCTCTTCAAGGGATTTTACTGCAACCAAGAAGGTTTCAACAAGGATCGATTCGAGGTCTCATTCCGACTTCAGTATCCTGTTTTGCCAAGCAGCCACTTATTCTTTTCGAGCGCAGATCTTCGTATGTGGGTGAACATTGTTCACCCACACTAGGTCAGTACAAAAATTCATTTTTTTTATTCAGCGTCTCAAAAAGCGGTCCAATTTGTGACACGTTTATTTTTTTACATGCTGAAAAATTTCCGAATGCTGTGGAGTACAAGCCGAGCGTCTTCCCTCGTTTTCACGTACAAGGGACATTTCCTGCCTTGCCTCGCAAATACAGTGACATCGTTCGACAAAAATTCAACAGAACCAGTTGCCATTTCTTTTACTAAACCTCTCGACTCAGCGCTTCCTGGGAAATCGACTGCACTCACCAGAGGCCATCGCAGATCTTCCACCGATGGACTACACCGCCGTAATCATCAGGAAAATTATAGTAATTTTTTTCGAAAATATTTTTATTTTTCAAAAAGTTATCGATTTTTCACTTTTTTCTCATTATTGACTTAAAGTAAATTTTAGTTGCTTTTCAAAGTAAATATAATTTATCACTAGTCTTTAAGGACAGGGAAAATAGCTTTCTTTCTTCTTATTTTTAGAGATGAAACTTTCATAAAATTTTTTTTTTTCTATTAAATTGGCACGTTAAATGCATTCTCTCATCGCGAAAATAAAATAATTTGTTTTTCGTGGTAAAACGATTCTCTTTTCGAGCTATCGACAACAATTTTAATAATTTTTTTTTTAAAAAACAAACAAAAAATACGCGCGGTGTTACGATCCAAATCTGCATTTTATTTACATAACAATTCTCGGACCATAATGTAAATTGTTACTGTTGCATACGTCTTTATGCAAAACAAATATACCTTGTTTCCTTTTTTTTTTCTCGCGCTAATCGTCGAAAAAGGTTGATCGTTAAAAAAGAAATTTTCCTTTTTTACCGGATTATTTAAATTTCTTTTTTTTTGCCACTTTGCGCCTGCACTGTTGGGCTTCGGTTCCTCGGTCTTATTGATATTATTATTTTTTTTTATTGTCTATATTATCAATAATTTGTTTAATTCCGGAATCAGGATGACAGACGACGACTTTGACACCGTGGCTGCCGGGATAAAGGCCGAGTCGGATGCCGCGATTGAGAATTTGAGGGCCGAGTTGGCAAATGTTACTGAGGAACTTCGAACGTTGCACGACAATCACGCTCGAGTCGAACCGATCCGTACACCTAAGTTACCTCGTTTTATTACAAATGATCCCGCGTTATGGTTTATTCAAATTGAAGCAGCATTTAATAGCTCTCGTATTACCTCCGAAGGAACTAGAGCCGAATACCTTATCGCTGAACTCGACCCTGAAATTTTGCTGTGCGCTCGTGACATTATCATGATTCAACCACGCCCTGCAAATATTTATACGCAGATTAAATTAAGGGTTTTAGCTTCTTATTCTGTTTCTTCTGAATCTCGATTGCGTCAACTTTTAAAGGGCGACTTCCCTTCCGACGGTAAACCTTCTCTGATTCTTACTCGTTTGCGGAGTTTAGGTGACACTCAGTGTAATAATGATGTGTTGAAGTCAGTTTTCTTGGACCAGCTTCCTGTTAGTACAAAATCGATTCTCGCAGTTTCTCGAGTCACAGACCTTCAGGAATTGGCTGATTTAGCCGATAAAGTTTACGAGACTACAAATCGCTTGCTGGGTGTAAAATCATGATACCTCGGATTAGCGTTGAAAAACATGATACCTCGGATTTGATTTGAAAAACATGACATATCGTCGTTTGGTTTGAAGAACATGACACGTCGAAACAAAAATTTTTTATTGAAATTTTGTTTGGTACCACTGACCGCGAAATTTAAAATGATTTGTTATATTACATTTTTAAAAAATATATGATAAGAGATTAAAATCAAAGTAAAATCTTGCACTTTACTCATATAATTTTAAATATTTCACGACATGAAATTTATTTTAATTCCCTATATTAAAGAACCAGTTGAGACTAGTAGAAATTGAACATGGATCTACTGGTGTCTACTGGTTTTAACTTCGAAATCCGATTTATGTAACTGAAATGAATATCCAATATAAAATTGAAATGGATTTATTCTGGATTGTCCTCTTCAATTTTTGTTTCGACTTGTTTTAACATGGATTTCTAATCTTATAATTTCTACTTGCATTTCCAAGTTCGCACATACTAAAAGTATCAGCTTGCAATTCCAAATACAAAAATTAAGTTTAAGTATCTACTTGGTTCAATTTGGATTCTCGAATACTACATTCTACTTGACATGTCAAATTAAAAATCATCAAGCTAAGTTTAATTTGAATCGGGGATACATTCAGTTCTATGTGGAATTTCAAGTTTAAATTTAAAGAGTTTGATTTATAGCGAATTGGAAGTCACAGAATTGTTATTTTCGCCAATTGTTATTTTGTAAATTGTCATTTTTGCAAATTTCCATTCTTACAAAATATTAATTTTTTCACTGTTATTTTTGCAAACTTGCTTTCTTCGCATTAACAGTCTAAAGAATTGATAGATGCTTCTGCTAATTGTTAATTTTTGCGAAATTGTTTTGTTATGAGTTGTTATTTTTGGTAATTGTTGTTTCGCTAATTTGCATTTCTCGAATTGATATTCTTATGAATTGTAACTGTTGCTATAAAAAATTATTTTACCTTATTCTCCTTCGACCTGACATATTATGAAGCGAAATTATTTATTTCATATAAGTTTCAAATATTTGACACATTTTAAATTTCGCGGTCAGTGGTACCAACCAAAATTTGAATAAAAATTTTTTGTTTTCGACGTGTCATGTTCTTCAAACCAAACGACGATATGTCATGTTTTTCAAATCAAAACCGAGGTATCATGTTTTTCAACGCTAATCCGAGGTATCATGATTTTACACCCAGCAAGCGAAATGCCTCGTACACTTGTTCCGCTTCCACTCAGGGAAATCAACAACTTTCACCTAGTCTACCCTCCACTTCCGCACATAATTTTGAATCTCAACTTGGCGATTTAATAAAACGTGTAAATGCCATTGACTCAAAGATATCAAAACAGAATAACCATCGATCTCGCTCGAAGTCGCGCAACTTTAAACGCGATAAAAAACCTGAGGATTCTCAGGATTGTTGGTATCACCGAAAATTCGCTGAAGATGCAAAGTATTGCAAAGAACCGTGTTCTTTCAAATCAAAGAAAAAAAAAGATTTCGGAAAACTAAATTCGCCTAATCGTGTTGAGACGATCGGATTGAGATCAGCCTCTAAACGTCTCCATATACGCGATCGTGTTTCCGGTTTATTGTTTCTTATTGATACCGGTTCGGATGTATCGCTCATACCAGTAAAAAAAAATTCAAAACGCGAACCCTCCGATATGGTTTTATTTGCCGCTAACGATTCGCGTATTTCGACATTCGGTAAAGAACGCATGACCCTGGATCTCGGAATTAGACGCGATTTTAGCTGGAATTTTTGTGTCGCTTCGGTTCCACACCCCATTTTAGGTGCCGATTTTTTGGCTCACTTTGGTCTTGCCGTTGACCTTGGTCAACGACGTCTTGTTGATTCACATACACAATTGCATTCTAACGCGACATTTCGAAATGTTTGTGCTTTGAGTGTAAAAACGATCGACCGCTCTTCACCGTTTTCAAGAATTTTAGCACAATATCCGGAACTCACCGGGATCTCACAGTCACCTGTTGCATCAACACATAATGTTTTTCATCATATCGATACTCAGGGGCCTCCTTTGGCTGAGCGTGCTCGTCGTTTGGCTCCTGATCGGCTCGAGATAGCAAGGAATCAATTCAGGAATTGGGTTGCACAGGGTGTTTGTCGACCATCTGGTAGTTCTTGGGCCGCTCCGATTCATTTGGCCCCAAAGAAGGGGGGAGGTTTTCGCGTTTGTGGTGATTTTCGTCGATTGAATTTCGTAACTGTTCCAGATCGATATCCAGTCCCACACATACACGATTTCGCTTCTTGCCTCGCTGGAAAGAAAATCTTTTCAAAGATTGACCTCCATATGGCGTACACCCAGATCCCCGTTGCCCCCGAGGACATCGAGAAGACCGCTGTAATAACACCTTTTGGTCTCTTCGAATTTTGCAGAATGATCTTCGGCCTAAAAAATGCAGGTCAGACCTTTCAACGTTATATTTTTCAAACGCTAGGAGATTTGGATTTCGTATTCGCCTATATTGATGATGTTCTTATTGCTTCAGTTGACGTCACTGAGCATGAGAAACATCTCAATATGGTGTTTCAAAGATTGAAGAATGCCGGCCTTCGTATTAACGTTGATAAGTGTCAATTTGGCCAACAAGAACTAGAATTTTTGGGCCACATCATTAATGCTCAGGGAATTCTTCCAACTCCCGAGAAGGTGA